CTTCCTTCTGTGTCCGGGTGGGATGCGGTTGAGTGGGATCTCTCAGATCACTTTGAGATCTCATTTTCTGTTTCCACCCCGGATCTTGACGCTTCTCCGCTTTCTTCCCCTCCTCTCTTTCCAGACTTTTCCTCTTTTAATCTTAAATCTGCCCCACCTTCTAGGCTTTTCTTTTCTCTCCAATCTCTCCTTTCTCCTGAAGGTGCCCTGCAGGTGGCTCTTAACAATTGTGACTCTGCCGCTTCCATCGATTGCTTTGTTGGCACTTTTTACGAACAGTTACACATGTTGAAGTAATAATTCCTTCACCAAACTTTAAGAATGAAATACTTTATGAGGAAAGAGTTTCTTTATTACACAAAATTAAATCACAAGCTTTCGGGCATAATCACCCTTCTACTGGTGTAAAACGAGACAAAATATTAGTGGCATTCAGCTATATATATATATACAAAAGGTAAGAAAATAAGACAGATATGTAAAATTGTGCCAGAGAAAATTAACATAATATTGGAGGATCATTCACAAAAGTTAAGCAAGGCAAGTAAATAAACGCATAATACATTCAATACATGGCCACCACAGAAACTAAGTACGAACAACGACTGTTAAACGAAATAAAACAAAATAAAATAGAAATAAAATAAAATAAAATAACCAAAACTGTCATTGACGTGTAAATTCGGCCCATTATCATGAGATTAAGAACAAACACCAGCGATTGGTCCTGGAAGCTATACTCACCAAAAAATTTAAAAGCATCAATAGAGCAATAGACCTTCCTGAAATATATGATAATTTAGTACTGGAACCTCCTACCTGAAAGATTAGGTTTCATAACATACTTATACTTTTACACGTCAATGACAGTTTTGGTTATTTTATTTTATTTTATTTCTATTTTATTTTGTTTTATTTCGTTTAACAGTCGTTGTTCGTACTTAGTTTCTGTGGTGGCCATGTATTGAATGTATTATGCGTTTATTTACTTGCCTTGCTTAACTTTTGTGAATGATCCTCCAATATTATGTTAATTTTCTCTGGCACAATTTTACATATCTGTCTTATTTTCTTACCTTTTGTATATATATATATATAGCTGAATGCCACTAATATTTTGTCTCGTTTTACACCAGTAGAAGGGTGATTATGCCCGAAAGCTTGTGATTTAATTTTGTGTAATAAAGAAACTCTTTCCTCATAAAGTATTTCATTCTTAAAGTTACACATGTGTTGTTCTGCCAACCTTTCCCCCAAGGGACCACTTCCTGCTTTCCCCCCACCCAATCCCTGGTGGTCTCCTAAACTACAGTCCCTTAAAACCCTCTCCAGGAGACTGGGAAGGGAATATAAGAACTTCCTTCCTCCACTTCGTGACCGCTTGAGAGAACGTTATGTGGAGGTGCGTAACCGCTTCAACAAGGCTATTGACAGGGCTAAGACTAATTATTTTAGGAAACTCTGCAATACTTTTGAGCATAATCCTTGGGGTCCAATCTACCGCTATATTTCCCATGGCTCGGCTAAACCTGACCCTCTTTGCTCCAGACGGTTTGAGAATATTTTAATTCACCATAACATCCCTGCCTGTCTTCAGGATATGTTGGACTCTTTCTTCACTGACCCCCCTCCTGACACTAGGCCCTTTCACTTTGCTCTTAGCACTAGCTCCTCCTCTCATTCTTCTCCTCCTGACCCTCCTATTACTCCTTTTGAGTACTCTTGGGCAATTAACAACCTTAATCCCAGGAAGGCACCTGGCCCTGACCAGTTACCTGGACAGTTTGCTAAGTGGCTTCTTTCTTCCTTTCCCTCCTTCTTCCTACTTCTCTTTAACCGCTGTCTATCTCTTGGTCTTTTCCCTACTCTCTGGAAGACAGGCAGGCTTGTCCTGGTCCCCAAGGCGTCCTCCTCTGAAGACTTTGCCTCCCGCCACCGTCCTATCACCCTTTTACCGGTGTTAGGTAAAGTCTTTGAGGACATAATTGCTCATAGGCTTGCTCACTTTTTTGAGTCAAATAAGTTATTACACCCCCTACAGTTTGGCTTCCGAAGGTGCCGCTCCTCGATTGATGCCCTCTCATTGTTAAAATCAAGGATTTCTTCGGCAGTCAAGACACATCAAGGGTGTTTCCTAATTAGTCTTGACATTAAGTCTGCCTTTGACCACCTTTGGCACCCTGCCTTCTTTGCTGCTTGCCTTGCTGATGCTTCCTGTCCTCCTCTTCTCCAAGCGGTCTATCAATCTTTCTTTACCAATAGGTCCGTCTCCCTCTCCCATCGGGGCTATTCTCGCTCTGCATTTCCCACCCGTGGTTGCGCCCAGGGTTCCAAGAGTGGACCACATGCCTGGAACATTGTTTTCAATTCGGTCCTCTCTCTACCCTTCCCTTCGGGCGTTCATGTGCAGGCCTTCGCCGATGACTTACAGATTGTTGTCTCTGGCCCTCCCATTTCCATTGTTTCCTCAGCGCAACGGACCCTCGACTTGATCTCCGAGTGGTGTCTGGACCGGAAACTAATTCTCTCACCAGATAAATCCCTAGTCCTCCCTATCTTCAACAACCCTCCCTCTTTGAAGATTGATGGTTTAGAGCTGGAGTGCCCAGACTGCCTCAAAATCCTCGGGGTCACATTCGATGATCGCTTGTCCTTCTCCCCTCATTTACAGAGGGTCTGTGAGAGGGCTCTATCCTTCTTCTCCCGTCTTAAGAGGTGCTCCAATGCCAGATATGGCTTTGGTTTCCATGCACGTAGGAGGCTTTACCTTGGGGCTTTCGAACCAACGATTACATATGCTGCTTCCATTTGGGAAGATGCAGCCAAAACCAGGGCTGGTCGCAGCCAGCTGAGGTCCACACAAAGAAAGTTCTGTGTCCATGCCATCCGGGGCTTCCGCACCACTCCAACCCTTGCAGCTATCGCCCTTCTTAGGGTCCTTCCTTTGGACATGAAGGTCCTTCTACTTTCATCCCTCCTTCGTCCACCCGAGTCACTTCCCTTCCGCGCTGAGAGGAGGCCGCCGCCTTACATCTATCCCTCTCCCCCAGCCATCCCTGACCTTTCCCCCACTCCTCTTCCCTCCTTCCTTCCTGACATCAGTTATTACACCGATGGCTCTAAGACATCTTCTGGAGTTGGTTCTGGTGTTGCCCGCGTCCCTTGCCCCGGTTCTTCCTTCTCTCCTCTTTTTCTATCTCTTCCTCTCTCTCCCCACTGCTCAGTTTTTCAAGCAGAGGGCTTCGCTCTTCTTACTGCTCTCCGTGACATTGCTTCTCTTCCCTCCCAACCAACTATTGCTATATTTTCTGACTGCCTCTCTCTTCTAAATTCCCTTCCTAACCCTCATTCCAGACATCCTCTTGTTTTCAAATGCCAGAGGATTCTCCACAATCTCCTTCTTTCTAGGTCTATTTCCCTTCACTGGGTAAAGGGCCATGCGGATACGGTGGGCAACATCATTGCCGACTCCCTGGCTCGTAGGGCGGCTAACGATAGAGATACTCCACCACTTTACTCTCTTGCCTCAGCCAAAACTGTGTCTCGCTACCTCCACCGTCAGGCCTGGAGGCAGTGGAATGATGAATTTATTTCCTCAAACCCTACTATCCTTAAAACTTTTGGCCTCTCCCCTTTATCTCTCCTTACAGACCACAGTTTTGTCTTCCCTACAACTGACTACATCACTGGGTTTATCACCGGTCATACTTTCATTGCGATCTTCCGATACAAGAAAGGAGAACTTTTGTTCACCCCTTCCTGCCCCGACTGTCGAACGGGTGATGAGACTGTTTCCCACGTTTTCTTCACTTGTCCACAATTGGACGACTTGAGGTCCTCCTTTTACAAAGGCTGTTTAACTGAGGTTGGGTCTATCCCTTCATCTCTAAAAGACCTGGTTAGCTCACCCAAAGTTTGGCGTCTGGCGGTTGACTTTGCCAGCAGGTGCGGCAGGTTTATTCAATCAAATATTCCTGATTCTGATGATTCATCTAATTAATTATGCCTTGCTATGCTTATTTTATTTTATTTTTTTGTTTTATTTTATTCTAAACTTTTTTTTTCTCACTTTCACTTTGTATATAGCCTGGTCTTATTTATATATATATATATATTTTTTTCTTTTTTTTTTCTTTTGCCTTTGTTGTTCTGCTATTTATCCTTTTCATATTTGATTTTTTCCACATCTTGTAACTTTTCTTTGTCATCATACATTATCATCTTCCTTGATCACCTTTTTTTTCTTGCTTTGTTTTTTATATCAATTTTGCTTTTTTTACTTAAATTTACTTTTTGTATCCTGGCATTTTATTTCTTTTCTGATTTTGGGGATTAAAAAAAAAATAATAATAATAATAATAAAAAATAATAATAAATAAAAAAAAAAAATAATAATAATAATAAATAAATAAAAAATAAAGGAAAAAGAGACTTTGAGGAAACAAAAGAGGATTTTTTCTCAAAAAATAAAAAATAAAAATTATAATAATAATTATAATAAATTATGATTTCCTCTGATCCCCCAATTTACCGTCACTCAACCTCTTGTATATAGCTTTCTCTAATGTTGCTTTAATTTGTGTGCTTTCTCTTTTTATCTCTTTACCTCTTGTTTTACCACTTGTGCTTTGATACTTTTTAAAATTTTCATTTTTTTACTTTTTTGTACCATTCCGTAAAAAGTTTTGAATTGTCCTTGACCCTTTCGACCATTGACTTCTCTCTAACCTGCCTGAATATGTTTAAAAAAAAAAAAATTGTTTGGCCCTGAAAAAGCCCTTTTGGGAGGGGGCTGTTTGTGTACTTGAACTTCCTTACTTCCTTCCTTGACTATTGCTTCTCTCTCTTTTTCTCTGTGTCTCTTGCAGCTTTCTGCGCCTTGCGACCCTTGCTGTCTGTTCCTTGCAGCGGGCGGCTTGTTGTTTGTCTTTTTTGTTGTTTTTATCCGAAAAAGTCCCTCTGGGACTTACAGCGGACGAGGATAATTTCTATAGGAAGAATACTCAGAGTTCTCTCGATAACTTCAACGAGTCTAGTTATTCCCCCCACCAGTGGTAAGGATTCCTGGATACTCTTGGAGTCAAAAGCTTCTCTTGATTTTTTTTTTCAAGGTAGCTAAATAGGGAAATCCTTGCTCGCCCGCTCTTGACATGCCTCCAGCCAAGAGGAAAAAAACGGCCTACAAGCCCATCGTGAACGTCGCCGACCTGGAGAGGGAGAACGAGACGGTGATCGCAAGCAGCTGCAGCATCCTGAGCCCCTTTCGTCATCCTACCCTGAAAGCCCTGCATGAGGACCTGATCCGCTTCATCGCCTCGCGGACCGAACTGATCAAGGCTCTTGAAGCCAAGGTAGAGAACCTCACGTTCACCCTCGAGTCCTTCGCGGAGCTGGACGATTTTCCGGAGGTCACCAAGCCCAAAACTGCCTGCCACGGCACGCAAACCTGCCCTGCTCCTTCCTGCAAGGAAACCAGCTCCCAGACTGACCCCACCAAGCCCGCCACTCCTTCTCCTGCTGACCCCCCCGCCAAGAAGCCCGCCTCCACCCTGCCTGCTCCTGGTGCAGCCAAGAGGAAGCAGCCTGAGGCTCCCAACCCCCCGGCCAAAAGATCCAACTTTAAAGGTCCAACTGCGCCTTCCCGCGTCTCCAAGCCTGCGGCCGCCCAAGTGGTCAAGCCTGCGGCCGCCCGAGTGGTTCTCCACGGTGAGAAATCGGCGGCCCACACAGTGGTCGTCTCCGACGACCCAGAGGCCGACCCTAGGGAGATCTTCAAGGCTGTCCGCGCTGCCCACACTCTACCCCAAGGCGTTTGGGCCTCTCTGAGAACCAAGGGAAAGCTGGTCCTCCACTCCAGCAATCCCGACATCATCCCTGAGGTGACAACCTCCCTGGCCAGCAAGCTAACGGGAATGAAGGTCCGCCAGCAGAAGGTGCTCCTGCAGAGGCCGACCCTAGGGAGATCTTCAAGGCTGTCCGCGCTGCCCACACTCTACCCCAAGGCGTTTGGGCCTCTCTGAGAACCAAGGGAAAGCTGGTCCTCCACTCCAGCAATCCCGACATCATCCCTGAGGTGACAACCTCCCTGGCCAGCAAGCTAACGGGAATGAAGGTCCGCCAGCAGAAGGTGCTCCTGCCTCGCATCTGCCTCTTCAAAGTGGAGGTGGAAACGTCCAACTCCACCATTGAAGAGACGCTGTTGGGGACTCCCGCTGTTAGCCAACTACCTGGGGACAAGGTGGTGCGCGTTGCGCACCGTTCTGCACCCAGAAACGGGACCTGCACCGCCTTCATCGAGGTGGACCTCAACACCTTCAGAGCTCTGGGCAACCGCGGAAGGATCGTGGTAGATGGAGTGATCCTCAACTTCGAGGAGTCCATCCGCGCACGCATCTGCTTCCGCTGTTGTGGCTTCGGCCACAACTCTGCCCAATGCACCAGAGATCCCAGGTGCTTCCACTGCGGTGAAGGTAGCCATGAAGGCCGTTCCTGCCCCTCTGCCGCTGACGGCACACTTCCAAGTGCACCAACTGCTGTGCCAAGGGCCTCCCATACAAGCACGAGGCGAGAGCCTCCAGCTGCCCCACCTTGAAGCTTAGAGCCCTCAAATTCTAGGCTTCCAGGACCTCCTGCCTCCTCAAACGGCCTCCATCCAGGCATCCACTTCTCTCTGTCGGTGCCCTCACAGCCTTCCGTGCCTGCCAGTTTTTCAGCCTTCCAGATGTTGCGGGCCGCTTGCCTTGTTGATGTCAGTGTATGTTCTCCGAAAAAGCTTGTCCGAAAGCTTACAGCGGAGGGAGTGAAATTTAACACAGGAAGAATACTCACTTTTTTCTGCCGCCAGCTCTCTACCTGTGAACATCTTTGCTCTCCTGTTCCTGCCATGGCCCCCTCTAGGAGGAAAAAGAAGAATGCTGAGAATGCCGAATACGCCAGGAACCATCTGTTAACCCTCGCCCAACTCGAGCTGAAGAACGCAGAATTTAAACAGCAACTCATGGACCTAATGCGGGATATTCACCCTACCATCCAAATTAGCCTGGGCGGTCTCATCACGCATCACTTCAATATACGGAATGAGCAGATCGAGGCCCTCACTGCCGAGGTTGCGAACCTCTCCAGCACCCTTGCGTCCTTTGAGGAACTGGACGACGTTGTGGAGGTCAACAAGCCCAAAACTGCTTGCCACGGCACCCAAACCTGCCCTGCTTCTTCCTGCAAGGAAACCAGCTCCCAGACTGACCCCACCGAGCCCGCCACTCCTTCTCCTGCTGACCCCCCTGCCAAGAAGCCCGCCTCCACCCTGCCTGCTCCTGGTGCAACCAAGAGGAAGCAGCCTGAGGCTCCCAACCCCCCTGCCAAAAGATCCAACTTCAAAGGTCCAACAAAACCTGCGCCTTCCCGCGTCTCCAAGCCTGCGGCCGCCCAAGTGGTCAAGCCTGCGGCTGCCCAAGTGGTTCTCCACGGTGAGAAATCGGCGGCCCACACAGTGGTCGTCTCCGATGACCCACAGGCTGACCCAAGGGAGATCTACAAGGCTGTCCGCGCTGCCTTACACTCTACCCCAAGGCGTTTGGGCCTCTCTGAGAACCAAGGGAAAGCTGGTCCTCCACTCCAGCAATCCCGACATCATCCCTGAGGTGACAACCTCCCTGGCCAGCAAGCTAACGGGAATGAAGGTCCGCCAGCAGAAGGTGATCCTGCCTCGCATCTGCCTCTTCAAAGTGGAGGTGGAAACGTCCAACTCCACCATTGAAGAGACGCTGTTGGGGACTCCCGCTGTCAGCCAACTACCTGGGGACAAGGTGGTGCGCGTTGCGCACCGTTCTGCACCCAGAAACGGGACCTGCACCGCCTTCATCGAGGTGGACCTCAACACCTTCAGAGCTCTGGGCAACCGCGGGAGGATCGTGGTAGATGGAGTGATCCTCAACTTCGAGGAGTCCATCCGCGCACGCATCTGCTTCCGCTGTTGTGGCTTTGGCCACAACTCTGCCCAATGCACCAGAGATCCCAGGTGCTTCCACTGCGGTGAAGGTGGCCACGAAGGCCGTTCCTGCCCCTCTGCTGCTGACCGGCACACTTCCAAGTGCACCAACTGCTGCGCCAAGGGCCTCCCATTCAAGCACGAGGCGAGAGCCTCCAGCTGCCCCACCTTGAAGCTTAGAGCCCTCAAGTTCTAGGCTTCCAGGACCTCCTGCCTCCTCAATTGGCCTCCATCCAGGCTTCCACTTCCCTCTGTCGGTGCCCTCACTGCCTTCCTCGCCAGCCAGTTTTTTTCAGCCTTCCAGATGTTGCGGGCCGCTCACCTAGTGTTGTCCGGTGTTTTGTCCGAAAAAGTCCCTCGAGGACTTACAGCGGACGAGGATAATTTCTATATAGGAAGAATACTCACAAAAAAAAAAAAATCTCTCGCGTCCCTGACACCAAACTGTGCACACATCCCTGGATCACTCTTACTCTTGGATTGCTCTCTTTCGCGTGGATTACTCTATCGGATTAATCAGCTATGGCGGCGGATACCTCCGCTTCTTCTGCCCCTACTCTGGGTGAGTTTCCCCGGGTCACTCCTCCTCCTGCTCCCATTATTCCCATTAACTCCAACACAGCGTTTAGGGAAGGGTGGGAAGAAATTAACACTTCTTTTAAGAGCTTCCATGAAATCTTTCTACATGAGGTTGGGGCAAGGGTTAGCGGGGAGCTAGGCTCCCCAGCTAATAGGTTTTTCTTTCGAGAAATGAATGGTCTGCTCGCCGATCTCCAAAACACTACTGTGGGGATCCTCCAGCATAAGCTGAAGTGCTGCGACCTTGAGGTCGCAGAAATCAGGGCTGAATTAACAGCCTTAAAGAAAAAAACAACTACCGTCGCTCCCACACCTCCTCCCAAACCAACCCCAACGGTGACTAAAGTCACCCCGCCAGCCAATGCAGGTGCTAAGCCTGCCAAACCATCCAAACCCAGTTACGCGCATATGCTGCGTAACAGCATTAATCACGTAAAGCTCGCTTCCGCGGACCTCTCTGTTAGCGAGATCAGGGCGAGAATCGCCCAGACTCCCAGCTTGAAGAATTGTGATGTAGCTGCGGTGACAGGGGGGGACAAAAAACTTGTCCTCCACTTCGCCAACCCCTCTGAGAAAAAGAGGTTTGTGGACAACGTTAAGTCCGCCAACATTGGTGGACTTAAAGTCCAAACAAACCCTACATTCAAGCCCAGGCTTGCCATCTTTGGTATTCCTGGAGAGATAACTGAAGAGCAACTTGTGGCTGATATCAGTAGCCATCCCGCTGTTGTACCGCTGCTGAAAAGCGGCGATTTCATCAGGATGGTGAAATTAATTAAAAAGAGGGTGCCAACTCCACCGCAATAATTGAGGTTAACAGGGATGTTGAGACTGTCCTACTCGAGCGTGGTAGGATCACGATCAACTTCCTCTCGCTGAGACTCGCTAGAGCAAAGCGCGTCTTTCCATGTGGTGTTTGTGGCAGTCTAAGTCACAAAACCCACACCAACGGAAAGAGGTGCACTAGGGCGGCTAAATGCAGCCACTGCGCTGGTGCACATCTTTCCGAAACATGTGAAAATAAAACGTCTTTGAAATGTCACAGGTGTGGTGACAAACACAGTGCCAACTCCATGGCGTGTAAACACATGCGGAAGGCACAGGACAATTTCAACAAATTATTAGTGCAATGAACGTTCTTAAGTGTGTTCAAGCCAATGTAAGACGCTCTCCATATTGTTTGTACTCCTTGTTGAATGAATGTCGCGAGGAAAAATCGGATGTGCTATTATTGCAAGAACTCCCAGTTTCTAAAAACAACTTACCTTCATTTCCAGTGCCCCTTGACAGGGTTTGCCACGGTCCTATTATTGAAAATAAATTGGGAGCGGCTGTAATAATAGCAAATCCGAATTTAAAATTTTTACATTTATCTCACTTGTCTTGTGTGAATGCTGTATTTGTCCTGTGCGAAGTGAATGACTTGACAATCCTTCTGTGTACTGTCTATCTTTCACCATCATGTTGTTCCGACGCTCTTCTTGATAGGATAGACAACTCTTTAAAAACAATTAATTTCCACGAGGTGATTTTTTGCGGCGACCTTAATATTGAATCATATAGATGGTCAAATAAAGCGCGGTTGCTTAAATACAAATGCTCGAAAAGAGAAAATGTCGAAAACTTCATAGACACAAACTTGCTCCACGTCGTCAACAAACACGGTCACGAGGGAGGAGGGGGATAAATCTTCCTCCATCGACGTCACGTGTTGTTCTGCCGGCCTCGCGGACAAGGTCACCGATTGGGATGCTATAAACCAGGCTTTATCTGACCATAAACGCCTCGTGTTTAACGTTAATTTAGAACCCCTCTCTTCTAACAACAATAGTAACATACATGTAAACAACTTTAGCGAAGTAAACTTCAGCTTTGGTCGCGCCGACTGGGAATTTTTTTTTTCAAACTTAAATTTTTTTTTTTTTTAGAATTTCATCCTTAATGGACGCGAGTGACACAACTCAAGTCGATGAAGTAATTAATTTACTAAAAGACGAGGTGTTTCACTCATGTCTACAAACCATTCCCTCTAAACCTGCCACCAATAATTTTTTTTTTAAGAAACCCACTTGGTGGAAACCTGAACTAAATCCGCTCCAAAAGGTTACTCAAAAAG